ATGGATATGTTAAACTGACATATAAATTTATAGATTTAACTGAAAAATTAAAAATGAGCTCATGACTAAATAAATGGTAACAATAGTAATTATAAGTGACAAAAATATATACAAATTATAGGTTATTTTTAAATGTGAAAAAAAAAGTAATTTCTTAAATGTAGAATTCAAAGTGTATGCTCTAAAGAACAAGGTTGCAACAAATAAGAAACTCCTGCACATGATGAAGTTAACAGCTGTTCTTTCACTCTGTAAGCGCGCATTCACAGCGCGGTCAGCCTGTCACCCTAACTTAGCCAGGCATTAAATATTCTATTTTTTGTAAATTTTCCTCTGAATGTGTAGAAATTACAAATACAATCCTCAAACTGTTAGCATATGTTTCTTTTACTTTCTTCCAAAAGAATCATTTAAAGCTAGTCCTAGAAAAACAAACTAGCTTTCCAAAGTGAATTAGCACCATCTAGTGAAAGAAGCGGAAAAATAAGTTCCAGGAGGAGAATGCCACTTCAGAACCAAAAGAAAGTTGCTGCTGTAAGCAGTATAACAGGCCACTTTAAGAAAATATGGAGAACTGTATGGCAAAACTCTCTCCTGATTATATTTTTGTTCATTTATACTCGACACTAACAGACTTTAGCTATTATTATTACATCTGTTCTAAAAACCCGACACTCAGTAAGTACTATAACCATTAAAAAAAATTCTAATTATGGAATGTTTAAAAAGAAAATAATTTTCTATGTTGGAAACACCACCAAGTACGTACGACCCATTAATTCACTTTCCAGCCCTCTAACTTGCAGCCCAATGTACAGGGCTTTGCTCTACCCTAGAGACCTTGGACAGCCATTACACATTTTGTACAGGGAAGGGTAGTTTGGTGGCTGCGTACAGGATGGATTCACATGGAGAGGGTGTTGAGGAAAGACTAACCAGTTGGGGGTTGAAGGTAATCATCCACACAAGAAATGCTAAGCCCTGCTGAAATGGCAGAAAGCGTCCAGGGGGTTCAAGGATCCCTGCAACATGCAGAATGTCTCTGAACTTCTGCAGCAGTATTTTTTAAAATTTGGTCTTATCTCCTTATATCCTTTCTATTATTAAACTGTATAGAAATGCTTAATCACTTTTTTGGGGTCTTATTTCCCCTACTAAAGGCTAACTTCTTTGAGTACAGAAATTACTTCAGTGTAGAAGTTAAATAATGATTTAGTTTTAAAAATATGTGAATGGGGTCACTTATTTCAATATTAACTTGTGCAGATAACAAATCATATAGTGGGTTTTTTAAAAAACACTTTTAAAAGATTCTTTTTATAAAATGTAGGAGGAATCATATGTTGATTATGCACATTACCAACTCTCAAATGTGTGATCACTGCATCATCATGACAATTTTTATCTTGTGGGGGAAAAAAGCACTTTTAAATGAGTTGGTCTTTTTATATTGTATCTTTGGATAAAAGGATCGATTCATCTATTGTTTTTTCCTCTCACTTTCTAAAGAATACAGTATAATTTATTTTTAAATATTCAAAAGCTGGAAAACTAAATATTAATTTTCTTTCAGATACATACATGAACATAAAACTTTCATGTTTTATTGGATTGGCCAAAAAGTCGGTATGGTTTTTTCCATAAAATAAGACACATTTTTCATTTTTACCAATAACTTTATTGATTTGGATATTTGGAGTATGTTGGCTGTCTCCTGCTATTGGCTTCTATAGGGTAGAGGCTGGGGTGTTGCTAAACATCTTCCAATGCATAAGACAGCCCCACAGCAAAAATTATTTGGCCAAAAGCACCTTCTCCATACACTGCACAAATCATTTTTTGCATTGCAGTTGTGTTTTTACCTTTCTTGTAATAATAAAGTGTAACGTGCTGAAAATGTTGCATATTTTCTTTCATCTTCAATATTAAAATGGCTGCACAAAAGTTCACCAATTTTGCTAGGTTTTTAAAAAAATGTATGCTGGTATGACAGTTGTCACAACACAATCTAAAAAAATTGTTTCAAATGAAGTTAAAGACAACTAAGTACTATGAAAGCCATGGTTCAGAAAAAACTACACGAACTTTTTGGACAACCCGATACCTTTAAAACAAAACATGTATACATGTTAAAGACCAAACTTTCAAACCTGATTAACCTAGGGAATTAACAGCCCAAAATCAGGACAATGGTTACCAATGAGGGAGGAGTAATGAGGAAAAAGGGACTCTTAAGTTCTTGCTAATGTGCTAGTTTTAAAGGAACAGGGAAGATGAGTTGTTATTCTTTAAATGATACATACCTTTTCTGATATACCACATTACTTTACATTAAACAAAAACCATTTTATCCTCTCAATTTCAAGATTAAATTACACTGCCTATTCCAAAAAGGGGCCAAGATAACAAATTAATTAATGATTAAGGCTGACTTCTAGTCAAGATGGCAGTGTAGGCAGACATGGCTTGCCTCTTCGCACAACCGCATCAAAATTACAACTAAAACATAGAAAAACTATCACTGGTTCCCATCAGAAATCGAGTTAAATGGAAGTCTGACAACTACGGAATTAAAGAAACCACATCCATCCAGACAGGTGGGAAGGGTGCAGATACAGAATGGGCTGGTCCCTCACCCACGTGTGGTGGATAAAATTTCTGGAGGGATATCTTGGGAGCGAGGAGTCCCAGACCCACACCAGGCCCTGCCAGCCCAGGGTTCCAGTGCCAGGAAGAAAAGTCGCCACAACTTCTGGCTTCAAAACCCAGCAGGGATTGAGTTGGTGAAAGAAACTGCTGGAGCCCCAAGCAGTTCCTCTTAAAGAATCCACAGAGAGATGCACATACTCAGACTCACTCCCTCTGAGCTCCAGCACCATGGTAGCAGATTGAAAGGCACCAGTGATATACAGGAAGAAACTGAAGTGTCTGGCATCAAGGCGAGCAGAGGCCACTGTCCCTTTTCTAAACCCTACCCCCACAGAACCAGCAAGCTGGTGCCCTATCTGAGACCCCATCGACCTGACTAACACTGTTTGACCCACCTTAGAGATCTCCAGAGACTCCACCCCAGGCCCAGCACGAGCAGCAGTCAATCTAGATTCACAGCTTGGTTTCACCTGGGAATCTACAAGCCCAGCACAAGTAGCAGCCATTTCAGATTGCTTTGTAGCTCAGGCAATGTGGCCTTGGGCAAAACACGGGTGGGGCCTGACCTTAGCCTGCACCACACAGGAAACACCAGGGCCTGCGCACCCCGTGGACAGCTACAGACCATGTCAGAGCACCACCACCCTGCCTCTGCACAGCTGATCCTCCATGGAGGGCTGAGGCTGGTGGTCAGTGGTCACAGCCAATCCTGGCAGCTGACTGGCCTGGCAAATCCCTCCCACTGATCTGCCAACAGCAACCAAGGGTCAACTACAAGTTGAGGGTGTACACAGCCCACATGAAGGGTACACCTCAAGTACCCAGCTTGGGTGATAGGGGAGGCTGTGCCACTGGACCCCATAGGACACCTACTACATTAGGCCATACTATCAAGACATGGAGTCCAACAGCTCTATCTAATACATAGAAACAAAACACAGGGAGGCTCCCAAAATGAGGAGACAAAGAAACACGGCCCAAATAAAAGAACAGATCAAAACCACAGAAAAATAGCTAAACAAAATGGAGATATGCAATCTATCAAATGCAGAGTTCCAAGTACTGGTTATGAGGATACTCAAGAAACTTAGTGAGAACCTCAACAGCATAAAAACAAAAAAAAATCCAGTCAGAAACCAAGGATACACTAATTGAAAAAAAGAATAATTTACAGGGAAACAACAGTGGAGTAGATGAAGCCAAGAATCAAATCAATGATTTGGAACATAAGGAAGCAAAAAACAACCAATCAGAACAACAAGAAGAAAAAAGAATACAAAAAGATAGTATAAGCAGCCTCTGATACAACTTAAAGATTTCCAACATTTGCATCACAGGGGTGCCAGACGGAAAAGAGAAAGAGCAAGAAATTGGAAATCTGTTTGAAAAAATAGTGAAAGAAAACTTCCTTAATTTGGTGAAGGAAATAGACATATAAGTCCAGGAAGCACAGAGAGTCCCAAACAAGATGGATGCAGGGACCTACAGCCAAGATTGCTCTACCCAGCAAAGCTATCATTTAGGATTGAGGGGCAGATAAAGAGCTTCCCAGACAAGAAAAAAACTAAAGTAGTTCATCATCCCAAACCACTACTGTATGAAATGTTAAAGGGACTTATTTAAGACAAAGATCAAAACTATGAACAATAAAATGGCAAAAATACATATCTATCAACAACTGAATCTAAAAAACAAACTAAGCAAACAGGAAGAACAGAGACAGAATCATGGCTATGGAGAGCATTTTGATGGTTGCCAAATAGGAGGGGGGAGAGGGATAATGGGTGAAGAGGTGAGAGGACTAAGTACAAATAGGCAGTTACAGAATAGCCATGGGGACGTAAAGTACAGTATAGGAAATGAAGGAGCCAAAGAACCCATATGCATGACCCAAGGGCATGAACAACGGTGGGGGGACTGCCTGAGGGAGTGGGGGGTGCTGGGTGGAGGGAGGCAAAGGGGAAAAATTCAGGACAACTGTAATAGCATAATCAATAAAATATAATTTAAAAAGATTAGGGCTTATATTAAGAAAAATATAAACTAATAAAAAATCATATAGCCTATAAAAACTCACTTGTAATATATCAACTCTACAGCAACATCGTTAATATAATAAAATAAAAATAAAATAAACTTTGTACAAGCTAAATTCCACTCTAAAATTCTAAAATATTCTAACCAAACTTTTTATTTTCCTAGGTCCTTTACCCTGTGGTGTCTAACTGTATTTTGCCTTTACAAAGTATAACATAAACTTCTATTCACTTGAATTCCTAAGCCAGAGAACTCCAATAGGAAAAGATAATTTAGACTAGAAGCCGAAACACTCACAGCTACCAGGCACCCACCTGAATTTAGGAAGAACTGGGGAGAGTCTCCATGAATGCCCACTGTGCCTGGTCCCAAGGAGTCAGACAGGGTATTTACAAAGGAAAATACTCCACTCATGATTCCAAAGCCCAGGCCAGAAACTAAAGAGAAATAAAAACACTGTTAAACTCTTTCATGCTATGATTTTCTTCAAATAAAATGTCCAAGGACTAGGAAATACTATTTTGTTGGAGGGGAAAGGGTGCGCATGCCATTGGAAAGACAGTGGAACGCTGCCTCAGGAAAGGCCATGCTTGGCTAAAAAATGAATTGAGTGAGAAGGAGGTAGAGGAAAGGAAATGAAAAATAGAATGTAGCAGAGAAAAGAAAAAGGAGAGACAAAAAGTCTAGCAGGCACAGAAGCAGTAGATGAGGTAGACAAGCATACGATGCTAAAGCTCTGGGTTTAGTTTATGGTAATAGAGTCTGCAGAATTCAGTTTGATGGCTTGGAACTGGGAATTGCACTGGAAGGGTGACTGTGCATTGTAAGGAGGGATCCCTGGGCCAAGCTGGGTGATTCAACTTACAGACCTAGATCTAATCTTTAAAACACAGTTCTAAAAGAGAAATGTGCAGAGGTATTAACTAGTAATATACAGAGTCCTCCTAGTACAACCACAGTCGTGGTAACTACTCAGGGAAGGTGGTAAGAGCAACCTCACTTAGAATTTGCTAATTAACTGGAGTGTTAAAAACCTAACTTTCAAACCTGGCTAATATTTAATGGACACACCTGCAATCCCATTACCTAAGGGCCTGAGGAGCTAGAAAACTAAACAGTGTACACCAATTTACCAAGGCACTAATAAATACTATATCTACAATGATATAAAAGATAAAAATGGCTTTTATGCCAAATTTGATTTTTATCCCCCCCTGTAATGACACCATGCAGTTCTAACTTACCATAGGCCAGCAATCGCATAGAAGGTGCTGTCTCATCCGGGTTTATAATCTTCAAACCCTCATTGGCTTTTCTAAAATAAAACCACACGGGTAATTTTTTAAAAAAGAAAAAAGGAGTATATTAGGAAAATACACAAGATACTTCAAAATCCAGATACCTACTGAGGTGTTTGACAAGGCTATACTATAAATCTAAAATCCATTTAAACAAAAACGCAGCAAATTTTCAATTACCATAATTTCCAACCCATTTTTGCCTTTTATTTGACTTTCACATAAAAGAGAAAAATAAGAAAAATATAAATAAACAAGCCATCAGTAAAAAAGCAGTACTTCTGACTACTTTCGTTCTTCTGATACTTCTGATACTTCGTTCAATATCCTGTGGCATCTACCACTCTGAATTTTTTCCTATTCCCAAAGAAACATATCTTCCGTCCCATTGTGCTGGTATTTTGTTTTATCTCCCACCTGGGCTGCACTTACTCTGCCACCCTCCCTTCTAGCTTCCACTCTGTAGAACCTCAATTGTAACCGACCTTCAAAGTCTAGCTCCGGCAGCAATTTCTCCAAGAAACCACCTTTACCAATGACTGGTAATCCCTCTCTATCCTTTCTTTTAAATCCTACAATACTGATGGTATGAACTCCTACATGGACATTTAATTATATGGTCATCTATTTTACATATTTGTTTCATGCCCCCTCTCCTCCAAATGGGCTTCAGGGGAGAAGGAAATGCTACCCTCAGGAGTGGCTACCAGTGTGGCTCAGTGGGTTGGGCATCATCTTGAAAGGCGAAAGGTCGCCTGTTCAATTCTTGGTCAGGGCAAACATCTGGGTTGTAGGTTGCGTCTCTGGTTGGGGCATGTATAAGAGGCAACCGATCCGTGTTTCTCACATCGTTGTTTCTCTCCTTCTCTTTCTCCCTCCCTTCCCCTCTCTCTAAAAGTAAATGAATAAACCTTAAAAAAAGAAAATGCTATCCTCAGAAAAGAAACTAAATGAATACCCAAATGAAAGATTAGAATACTGTTTAATAAAAAATAATCCTCAGAGCGATCATATCTGGGCTTCTGCTGTGGACAACACAGATGTGTTAGGAAGGCAAGGTGTGGCTGGTCATTTCCACTATGGTCACTATTATTAACCCTTGTTGGCTAGAAACCTGCAACAAGGATCCTGACTCAAAGGGTATTTAAATTATATCTACAATAAATATAAATATCATTAAATTAAAGCAATGCAGAGTTCAACTAAAATAGCATTAAGCACAATGAAAAAAGTATTTTGTTTTTCTAGACTCGAAACAGTTTGCTATTTCAGTGTTTTCCACTTGGTAGCATCATTTGGTAGCAAGGATATGAGCCAATGACTGTCAACTTCTTTCTCTGGAGCAGTAACCAACTAAAATGCCCGGTTCTCCTAAAAAATAAACTTACCTGTCACCGGAATGTTGTTAAATGCTAACTAAAGCTTAGAAACATAGACAGTAGTAATAACATCCATCAACAAACGAATATAATGATGTAATAGAATCAATAAATCCTGTACAATTTCTGTTTTATATAAACTGCTCAGTAATGAATAAAAGCTTTTTGCTATTTGGTAGAGCAAAGTACTGCTATGACAAATATATTAAATATATGAACTCAAAAGGTAAAAAGTTTCCTCATTTTTTATCACAAGTTTGTGGGAGGAGAATTCTATGGCACTACAAGTTCTCCATGTCAAGGTTAGGAAGTGAAAAAGGACAAAACACCATCAGTTTCCGTGTTCCTGACAGAACACACGACTGATGACGTAAGGGACAGCGCTCTTACTGTGACCGCTGTACTGAAGCGGAAAATTCTTTGTTTTCATTTATTATAGTTTCCAAGAACACAAAGCAAAAGCCTAAGTTTTTTAAATACAAACTTTGAAATACTCAGATAAATCATTCTGTCTTTCTCATTTGTTCTGATTCTTTCTTTGGACTGTGTGTAAAAGAGGGATAGTACCAAGAAATACACTTATAAATTAAATATACCATTTTAGAAATTTTTTAAAATAGACATGTCTTTTAAGAAATTATAGCAATGGTTATCTTAGATGTTTTCAATAAATGGAAGACTTTCTAAAATTACCAAATATTTATATAGTATTAGCATTACAAGACAAAAATTGCATTAAACTGCAAAAGCTTCAATCCAAGCCAAAAAAATTCCAATGTATGTACATACAGGACCATAACTTGGATTTTTAAAAAGAAATTAAGGAAGAAAGGGCTATCACATGTGGCCACAAGCCAATTTCTCACAGTACAACTCTGCTTGGCTGAAACTTACATTTCACTCATTCAAGATAAAGTACTGTTCTTAAGGCCTGACCCATAAAAAAAATTACATTAAACTGCGATGATAAATATTTTGATTCAAGTCCATATGTGTAAAAAAAATACTGGTGCAAACTCTCCATATTTTCATCTTGGCATCAAATTCAGATAGCAAAAATTTTATTGAGGCAGTACTTTAAATTTAAATGTTCAAAATGTACTTTGGCAGTGGAATACTTAAAATATTGATTAAATCAGTGCCTATATTTGAATGTGGTATATCATTAAGGGAACTTAAATGTATCTATATAACTGTTAGCCATGAATAAAGTATCATAATTCTCAAATTTGTTTTAACACATAACTACATAACATCCAACATTTCTAAAATCTGCTAGAAAGATATTGTACAATATTCCAAAGGCTGGCTAAAGATGCATTTTGCAAAGGCAATCAAAGGCACCTGTCAATACAGGTTCGTCCTAATATCTGTTTGCAAATTTTGGAGCAGTAAACATGGTTTTTCCAGAAAGCCAAACAGGCCTCTCTGAAGTTGCTGGCACAAGAGCGTGTGGACTGACGGCCGTAACTCCTTCTGCACATGACCCTACTCCCTCTGCCTCATTAAAGATGTCAACCAATGCTCAGCGTGCAGCCCTTTGGAACCACGGGTTAGTGCCGATAGAGAGCTGCATTTCAGGTGGGAACTGTGATAAACAAACAGATGCCTATTCAGCCACTCTAGGTAAGTCAGGTTTTAGAATCTAAAGTCCTAAAGGTTTACTAAATCCATGTCCTAAACTGTGAAAATCTATTCAAAATTTTGCTTCAAAATTAGAACCATCGTATGTGAAAATGCAAAAACAACATGAGCCAAAGATGTTGCTGACAGGAAAATCCAGTGCAACTTGAGGCTGAGTTCTTAAGAATACAGTGCCCAGTCAAGGGCGGGAAGGGCCACTGTCCTCTGCACTACTGCGATCACAGCAGAGTCCTCTGCTGGGTCCCGAGCAGGGGTAAACTCCAGGCCCTGACAAAAGGGGACATGGCGACTGACAGGAAAGAACAGGGACCAGAAAAGGTTTGGAAGCCACAGACATGTCCTTTGATGGTCAGGTGAAGAAATGAGGAATGTTCAGCCATGAGAGAGATAAGGTGACTACCATGTGACAGAGATTTCAGTTGACTGTGTGGCTCTTGAATGGGGCAGAGGTCAGGAAGAGGGAGATTTTGATTATCTTAATAGTATTCTACAGTTAAATTTAATTTTAGAGTGGTAGTAGCTGCTGCATACCAGATGAATGTCCATCTGTTAAGAATACTGTGTTCCCATGGAAACAAATTTTATCTTTGATATTTGTTGCTTGCTTTTTTAATATTTCTAAGAACTAATGGAAATTTCATTTTTAAACCTTTTCTAAGATATGACTTTTGCTTGTAAGCACTGACTTCATGCTCTTCAATTTGTAATTTAAATTGTTTCATTATTAAATTTCAATGTTATTAAAAACAATAAGTACAAAATGTTGAAAGACTAGCATATCAGCAAAAACAAATTACCCAGAAGTTATTATAAGAGACATTGTTGAAGTTCTATCTTGGTTATATCCCTGAAATTCATGGAGTGGCTTAACAATCTCATTTGCTAAAAGGTTAAGAGCACATCTACCATTTTAAGTCTTAGTACATAATCAAAGCCAATCTCATGACTGGCTGAAAGAAACTATGGTTCTAAGTTCAAGCTGTGATTCAAAGCAGTGGTTTCATGTGAGGTCCTCATGAATCTCAGATGACCTACTTTCTGGCCTAAGATTCCCTAAAGGGAACTCGTATGCATTGTTTCCTGAAAAAATGTGTTTTTCTATTACGGATAAGAAATCACATTAAATATCACAAAATGAACCCCCATTTCCCCTAATACAATCAAAATAATGGTAGGTATAATCTCTATAAGAATTATTTATTTTAGCTGGTGGCAAAGAGGGGCTGATGTAAATTCTAAGGTGGAACAGTTTTGTTGTTTCAGTATTCTTTAGCTTCTTTTTCTTCATGGCATTTATCTTCTAATACACAATGAATTGTCTTACTCATATCTTCTAATATACAACATATTTTCTTATTCAGTGGTTGTCTCTCTCTTTCCACTATAATATGAGGCCAGAAACTGTCTTTTAATCATGATGTATCCTCAGTCCCTAGAATAATGACTGGCATTGGGTAAATTCTCAAAAAATATTTTTGAATAAGTGAATGAAGAAAGGAATATCTACAAGTTAAACTACTCATATTTTCAGGTTGGAAATGTTCTAATCCCTTGGCTTCAAACTACAAAGGAAGGCATGGACCCTCAAATACCCAATTACATTGTCTCAAATTATTAAATCATAATTTAAATTAACTGGGGAAAAGGTAAACAAATATTTAACTTACTTTAAAAGTCTGTAATATGCAAACCGAAACATCTCTTGGATAAGAACTGAGATTAACACTCCAAAGATCAGCAGATATTTCTGTATTGATTCATCTTCGCCGTCAGTAATGGTTCTTGCCACGAACCAGACAAGGGAGGAGAGCAGTAGCGATACCAACCAGAAGAAAGCTCTGAAAATTGGGGGAAAAGAGTCACAAGTAAACATAAGGAGAGGATTAATTTTTTTTTAAGTGTTTGTAAAGTGATGCTCTGGATCTATTTTTCTTAATCAACAGTGAATTTTCCCTGGTGAGATGAACATGCAATCCACAAGGAATTTGGGATTTTTCCTAACAATCACTCTTTTCTGTGACCCTATTATTTGTTAGTATCTTCAGACTATCTGCTAAGGACTGTCTAACTGGAAACTTTGTTACTCTTCGTAATTAAAGCTTTGCTCATTAATGTGCAAATATAAGTGTCTTTTCCAGGAAAAAAAAAAAAAGTCTACATCTCTAGTAACAGAGTGATTGGTATAAAATTTAGAAGTTGAAAACCTGCATTCTGATCTAGGTCACTTTTCCAGGCCTGGTTTTTACAGCATTCCTGTGGATTTTAATGATTACAACAAGTTTTACAAATCTTTTGCCCAAATCTCTATCGCTTTTTAAATGATAATGTGATGCAGCACTTCCAATACAGCTGTGAGAGGTGGAGAATCTGAGGAAAGGTGAGCACCACTGGGCTAGACGGGCTGTTTCTCCAAGTGCCAAGTGAGCATCAAGGGCGTAGTGGCACAGGGGAAAGTGGTAAGAGCTGCCAGAGGAAAACTGGGATTATGACCATATTCACCACCAGAGTTCGGTATTTCCCAAGCTCCTGAGGAGAGACTCACTGACAGGTGCTTCTGTTTGTACAGGTTCCCACTCTTTGGCTGCACACCTGAATCACTTGCGGAGTTAAAAAAATAATAAAATCCGTCGCCTGCCCCACCCCCTAGGCATTCCGGTTTAGTTGTTCTGGGGTAGGGTTGGGCATCGGTATATTTTAAAGCACTGATGTGCAGGTGCTATGGCTCTTAACCCCTGTGGGATTACAGAAGCCTGTGAAAAGCCTGTTAACTCAGGACCCCCGTCTCCAGAAAAATAAAACATGCATATCTGAACTTATCCACTTTTTCATACAATTTAAGTGGCTTCAGGACTCACTAAAGCTCACCCACGGACCCTACGCAAAAACTGAGGAGCCAAGTATCAGGGTTTTCTGAGACCCATAGTGTGAGCTCCTTCCCCAGAGCCCGCCCTCTGGGGTCCTGGGGCTCGTGTTCGTTTCCCGCTGACCCTTGGAAGCCGGCGAGGAGTCCCAGAGGAACGGGGTCTCTGCTCTCCTCATCTCAATCCCTCTCCCCTCCAAAGCCCAACATGGTCCAGCCGTTTGGTAGGGACGCTGGGGGTCGCCAATACCCCCCGGTGGGGAGGGGAGCCCGGGGTCCAGGTTTCCCAGCGCAACCGCCTCACCCGACGATGAGGAAGATGATGCGCAATGGCTCCGTGGCGATGGTGACGATGTAGAGGGCGAGCGCAGGCCCGAAGGCAATGAAGGCGCAGCCGAAGAACACGGCCGCCGTCATGGCGACCGCTAAAACAGGCCCGGGGGCCAGGCGCGGACGCGAGGTGCCCCAGTGCGCCGGGAGCAGGCGGGGCTCGGCGCGGGGCGGGGCGCGAGCGGGGCTCGGCGCGGGGCGGGGCGCGGGCGGGGCTCGGCGCGGGGCGGGGCGGGGCGGGGCGCGGGCGGGGCTCGGCGCGGGGCGGGGCGCGGTAGAGGGGCGGGGCGCGGGCCTTCGGCCAGATCGGTCGCACCCAGCGTCTGGGGACCCCGCGGAGCGGAGCTGTGGTTCCCGGACTCGTCGGCTGAGTTAGCTGGAGCCTTTAGTGCCGGAGTCGCAGGGCCCCCGTTTTCATCTCACTCCTGGAACACACAGATCAGGCCAACGGTGCCGGCTACCACATAGCTAGGAGAGGGGAGGTCTCGACTGCGGACCTTCGCTAAGATTTCAAATCAACTAAAGAAAAACAGCGCCGGGAAGAGACCGGCTTCCGTTTCTAAATAAAAGGTGTTTTTTTTTAACGCAAATCTTTTCATTTGCATAGTTGCGAGAACTTCGTACTTCATCAAGTATAAAACCCAAATTGGGATAGCGGTATCCAGATGATACCTCAAAGGGAGTGAAAGGATGAAGTAGTGGTGGAACAAGCCGTCCTCAGGGTTGTACTGGCGAGCTGGTTCTGTTTGTTCCCTGCCCCCTCCCCCTTTTTGGATCTTCAAAAAGTAATGGTATCTTCTTGTTCTGTTTTTCTTGCTCATTTGTCTCCCCCATTAAAGATAAACTTGGAGGGCAGGGGCTTTGTTTTGTTCTTTGTTGTTGCCACCGCACCTAGAAGGTGCTCACTAAATATCTGTTCAGTTAATGAAATGACATAAAAATTGGAACTTATAAACATTTGCTCTTTTAAAATCATTTTAAAATTTCTGAGAGATTTAAAAATTAAAAGCAGAAGGTTAAGTTCTCTGATGATTCACATCTAAGATTTTTTTCCTCCCATGTTTAATGAGAATAATATGAATAATACCTCATGGGTTATCTTTAGGATCCTGCCTGTACATTGTGTGCTATATAAGTGTTAGCCATTCTTATTCATTCTTTAATGTCTATCATGAATAAAGCTCTTGGAAATTAACATTGAAAAGAACACCAGTAGGCAAAAGTCGGGACCTAAATGAAGATGTTTTGTAAGTCACCTCTGGAAATGGCCCCTCAAATAATACAACTGCAAGTATTTAATTTTATGGTAAAATATCACCTTTGCCCATTTAAAAAATATATATGATATAGATATGTAGCCATTTACTCCACAGAATACTTCTTCATTTTGAAATATCCAGCACCTATCAAAACTGAGTTTGAGACCGGTCAAGGAGATTGAGTGACTCACCATTAGATAGATTTTTGGGGGTCTATTCTGAATCAAAGTTATCAAATGCAATTCCATTATTTCAGCTCTGTGCAGAAATGCCTTCACAGAAGCATAGTGTGCTTGTGTCCTTGGCAGAAAATAAGGTCTTTTTACAAGAAATGGCCATCTACATTTTTTTCCTGAATATTTTCTAAAACTGGTTCATTATTATTGTTCATATCACTAATAGATCCATGCTTTACTATTTCAGTTCAGGGCTAGAAAAAAGTTTGGTTTCTCCTGACAAATTTATATGCATAGTTTGGAAGCTAACTCATCATACTCAGGCTTTACCTTGACCCCCAGGAAGCATGGGGTTAAGTTTAATAGTCAATTGTAGCAACTATTTTTTAATTATAATTACTGCCACGATGTCTGAATATGACTTATCCTTTTATCCCTATTCTAATAATTTACCCAAATTTTAACCAAGATCCACTGTGTATCTTGGTTAAAACTGCATCAAATACTTTGGAAGTTGGCAATTCAACACGCAGAGCTAAGTCACCAGACTGTGTACTCATTCTATCTTGACCATATTTCAGTTCAGTCTTAGTCCTCAAGTCCAGTTTAAAAATGGGAAGGCAATGGAAAATATAATATCTCCCCTCCCCCATCCATCTCTGAAGACATCTTTAATAGATGTCTGTTGGAATAGAAAAGAAGAAAGCAACTACACCGAACTGGCAAAATAACCAATAAAATAATCATGTTCAGCATTTATGGTAATTTACTAGAAAAACTTATTTCAAGTTTTTTCTCAATAATGGCACCTTACATTGCTGCTTAAAAAGCACTTCATACGGATTTCAACAATTCTGTTTACCAGTGAGAAATCTAAGTAGCAGTGCTATTGACTCCTTAAGTTTTTATGAACTTACTAGAAGTTTCCCCCCAAGACCTAAAAATATAAAGGTACTAAGTGATTTTGGGAGTTAAATCCCTAAAAGTTGACTTGGGGAAGGAGGCAAACACACACTGTGGATACGAATGGAGTCTGCTGAGAATTTCTCAGAACTGGGTGTGTGTTGGGGGCAAGAGGGCAAAAGTAATACCACCTCTTAGCAATTTATCAAGTAAGGCTTTGACATAGCCTCCAGTAATTCACAATATAGTAATGAATTCACTTGAGCTTTGTTTTCTTGCAGTGCTCACAGATGTATATTTATTCATTCATTCAAAATGCATGTTGAATGCCTACTAAGAATCAGGCATAATGCTAGGCATTGGGAGCTCAGTTGGTTGGGCGTTGTTCTGCAAAGTGAAAAGTCGCTGGTTTGATTCCTTGTCAGGACACATACCTAAGTTGTGGGTTTGGTCCCCAGCCAGGGCACATATGAGAGGTTACCTTTAAAAAAAGTTCTGGGCATTGGGGCTACACCAGTGAAATAGATGTGCTCCTGTCTCCATGGAGCTTACAGTCCAGCGGGGAAGACAGCCAGGCAGGTATAGGGTGCTATGAGAAGGTACAGGAAGGGGAAAGGGCACCCAATCCAAACTTGTGAGGTTTTGGTAACAGTAACACCTGTCCACTCAGGTCTCATCTTCAAAGTTGGCAAAGCTAGGGAGTAGGGAAGGAATGGCAGGACAAATGAATAGGCCTCAAAGTGAAAGAAAGTAGTTCAGGATGTCCTAGAACTGTGAGGAGAAGGATGAGAGGTAACACTGGAAAGCCCAGCAGGTTAGAGTTTACCCCAAGCCCTGGGTTTATCTCGGCGAGTGACGTGATCAGACTTCCTTTGTTCGGGTATGTAAAACGGAATTCCAGATAGGGCTCCTTTGGCGCACTGCAGGCATGAGGTGGTAGTGGCCTGAGTCAGGGAAAGAGTGGGAGTCTGGAAAGAAGTGGACAAATTGAAGGGAGATTTAGGAACTGTGTGAACAGAATTTAGTGACTGATGGCCTACATGAATTGAAGGAGAGGAAAAAACATCAAGGAAAGGTGTATTGATAGAAATTTTTTAATTTTTCAATTACAATTAACATTTAATATTACATGTTTGCTTATTTTGTGTTTTAGATTCCACATATGAGTCAAATCATATGATATCTATCTTTCTCTGACTTACTTCACTTAGTAGAATACCCTCTGGGTCCATCCATGTTGTTGCACTGGCAAGATTTTATTCTTTTTTATGGCCAAGTAACAGTCCATTGTATGTATGTACCACATCTTCTTTATCTAATCTTCTATGGATGGACACTTAGGTTGCTTCCACATCTTGGCTATAGTTTCTATAGCCTTTGTTTATTTTGTCTCATATAAGTATTACTACCCCAGCATTTTTTTCATTTCCATTTACATGAAATATTTTTTTCCATCCCTTTACTTTTGGTCTATGTGTATCTTTTGATCTGGAATGGGTCTCTTGTAGATAGCGTATGTATGGGTCTTGTTTTCTTCTCCATTCAGTCACCCTATGTCTTTTGATTGGAGCATTTAATCCATTTATATTTAAAGTAATTATTGATAGGTAACAATTGTCATTATATTATTTATATTTTTGATCTTTTTCTTTTTCTTAAAGAAGTCCCTTTAACACTTCATGTAATATTGGTTTGGTGGTGACTTCACCAGACATTCTTCATGGTTAACAAGTGCAGAACCAAGATGGCAACAGAAAGAGCTATCCATTCATCTTTTGATCATAGCATTTTGTCCTTAAAGTAATTATCGATAAGCATCTAGCTGTTGGCATTTTTATTCATTGTTTCCTGATTGTTTTTGTAGTTTTCTGTTCCTTTCTTATTCTCCTGCTCTCTTCTCTTGCATTTGAATGACTTTCTGTTGTGCTGTGTTTGGATCCCTTTCTCTTTATTCCTTGCACATCTCTTGTAGATTTCTGGTTTGTGGTCACTATGTGTTTCACATATACTGTGTTTATAACAGTCTATTTTAAGTAGATGGTCACTTAAATTCGAACACAGTCTAGAATCACTACCATTTTTACTCACCCCCTGAACATTTAAGTTTGTTTTTCTTTTGTGTATATCCTCTAATTTATTCTTGTAATTATACATGCTCTGCCTATTTTTGTCTTTTAGCCTTTATACTAGCTTTAGTGTTGGTTGATCCATTGCTCTTACTATGTGTTTGTCTTTGTCAGTGAGAATTTTTTTCTTTGCAGTATTTTTTTATTCATATTGATTTTTTTTCTTCTAAAGAAGCCCCTTTAACATTTCATGTACTACCGGTTTGGTGGTCATGAATTCCTTCAGCTTTTTCTTGCCTGGGATGCTCGTTACATGTCCTTTGATTCTAAACGGCAGCCTTGCTGGGTAATCTTGCTTTCGTGGGGCTCCGGTGCCTGCTGAGTCCACTTTTTGGGTGTGTCATTTATGGAACTAATTGGGTGGTGCTCTGGTGTGGTCTGAAGCCTGTTGGGAGGGGCTCCAGTGCAGGCCAAGCTCAGTATCTGCCTGTGTCCGGGCCCAAGGTCACCTGGTAGGACCTACAAAGTGATCTGCACTTGGAAGCTGTCTGTGCTGGGCTTGGAGGCATCTAGAAGTGGTTATACCATGAACCCAGGCCAGCTGCCACTAGTGTCTTGCTTGGCGATGTTTAGCCAAAGGTATGGGGCACAGCAAGGACGGCCACTGATTGTTCGGGGTCTGTGGACCTTTGAATTAGGAAAGTCTGCAGTGTGGGCCCAGGACGGC